TGTCAGTTCATTCTTCATTTTTAAATTACTTTGCTGCCAAATGTATTGATCTCCACTAATGATGATGTATTGGATTTATTTAAACTTTAAATCAATAAATCTTCAAAACTACTGAACTGAAGTACATTAATTCGATTATTAAAACTAGTCTTGTAACAATTCTCAGCAACTTTTCATGTGTGTGAGAAAGGAAGGATTCATACTACAGGTAACAAACAATCGCTATCGATCAACTTCCATGGCAATGTGCGATATACGGCAAAACTTATTTGGTTACCTGATACGCTTCTAGTAAAAAATTGTCATGTCTTATCAGTAGCAATTTCCTTCTTTCCTTTCTCTATCGAACACGAAACTTCTCGTCCGACAACGCTCCAATTCTCTAGTGTTTGTCAAGAAGATATATCCGACTTACGGGATCCGATCTATTATTAGATACCCTTATAGAATTTGGTCTGTACGACGTCCAGCTAGGGAAAGATCAAATCTCTGAAGGTCGAGTGCCAAGTTTACAAGCAGGGATTTTCTTATGATTTTGCCGAGCAAAACTCGACTGTTACATTACTCCATGCAAATTACGGCAAGTGGCTCATATTTCTCAAAAGTTACAGGGCGGGGGCCACTGTATGGAAAAGGATGATGATCAAAGGTGACAAGAAGTATTTTGCTGCTGTTTTTCAATCATTTTAAAAAATGTATTGCATATTTTTATTTCAGATCTATTGAGACCAAGTCTCGTCAATGTATAAAATATTAAAGAAGCTTTTATAAAAAACCATTGAATCACTGGACAACAAATTTTAGTTTTTTAATTGTATCTTGTGGGAAAAGTGCACTTCTTTGTTAATTTTGGGGCGCTGAATCCAAAAATGGTAATGAAATAAAAAAATTAGTTGCGGTTTAGAAAAAAAACTTTTTATTTTTAAGGATATATTAAAAAAAGTAACAAGATTCATATACTTATAAGTATCACTATATGCGCTGTCTTTTTGCTGTTCTTTTATGGATCGTTTCTGGAGCATCTCTACCAAGAGTCCAACAGTAGTCTGCAAGAATGGAAGGATTCCACTTTCCCTGGTACCTTTTTTCCATTGTTGAAATATCCTGATGAAAACGTTCGCCGTGCTCATCACTTACGGCTCCGCAATTGTCAGGAAAAAAGTCCAGGTGTGAGTGTAGGAAATGTATCTTAAGAGACATATTACAGCCCATCTTTTGATACGATGACAGCATATTTTTGACAAGGGTTTTATAGTTGTCACCTTTTCTATTTCCCAAGAAATTAGTGACCACCAGACGGAAATCATTCCAAGCAGTTTTTTCAATACCTGTTAAAGTGTTTTCAAACCGTGTATATTTCAAAATATTTCGAATCTGTGGCCCAACAAAAATACCTTCTTTAACCTTTGCCTCACTTAGTCTTGGAAATTTCTGACGCAGGTATTGAAAAGCTGACCCATCTCTATCTAATGCCTTGACAAAGTTTTTCATTAGGCCCAACTTGATTTGCAGTGGTGGTAATAAAAATTTTTTCGAATCTACTAATGGCATATGCTGTACATTTTTTTGACCTGGCTCTAGGAATTGACGAACAGGCCAGTTTTGTTTGGTGTAATGAAGTGCCTTTGGCCGACTGTCCCATTCACACAAAAAACAGCAAAACTTTGTGTAGCCTAGCTGCAGCCCGAGTAAAAGTGCAACAACTTTCAAATCGCCACAAATATGCCATTGGTGCTCATCGTATTTTATGCATGTCAATAGGTACTTCATATTGTCATATGATTCTTTCATGTGAACTGCATACCCTACAGGAAGAAATGGTAAAATACTTCCAATATGCAATAACACTGCCTTTAAACTCAATGTTGAACTTTCTATAAACAATCTCCATTCTTCTGGGTTATAGTTTATATTTAAAGCCGCCAGTAAGCCGTTAATATTACTGCAGAAAACCAAGTTGTTCTCCATATTGAAAAATGGTTCTAAGTCTTTGTGGCGTTTACGAAAAACACATACCGAAACGTCGTCTTCTAACAAGTTCCACTGCTGCAGTCTTGATCCAAGTAACTCTGCCTTACATTTTGGAAGTTCTAAATCTCTTACAAGATCATTTAATTCTGACTGTGTTATTTTGTGCGGTTGGTGGCATGACGTGCTCGGTATAAAATCAGGATCTCTTGACGTTGATGGCATATCTTCTTCCTGACGAATCACTCGATCGCCATGATATAATTCGTTTTCTGATTCGCAAGTGTAGGATTCTGGGGGTTTTGGAATAGGATTTTCGTCACTGTGAGGCACAGGTCTCATCGCAGATGGTATGTTTGGGTAGTTAATAACCGATTTTTTTTTCTTGGACATACCTGTGACGTGTCCAACACGGTACCATGCAAAAGTAACAATCATTAATATGATTTGTAGGCTCTCTCCAAACCATTGGGACAGCAAAGCGCGACCGTTTTTTGCCATTTAACCAGCTCCTCAGACTTGAAGCACATGTATTACAGCAGATGTGGGGTGCCCACTGTTTGTCTTGATCACCTAGTTTACAACCGAAATAAAGCTGATATGCCTTTGTTATTAGTGGAGTAATAGACCGTCTCTGAGACGCAAAAGTCACATCACCACACACGTAACAAAACTGATCTGGATTGTTTACACACTTTCGAGACATCTTGCATGAACGCTGTCAGCCAACTGAGGAAAAAATGGCTAATATAAAACAATATAATGTACACGTATGTATAACGTAACACAATCATGCTGATTACATCATATTTCCTTGCCGAATATAAAATTGTAGCACGTGCATTCTTGTGAATTACAGTATATTAACACTGTCACAGCAGGAACACATATAATTACCGTATCTCTAAAACTTGAACTAATATTGAAAAATAAGTTTCATTCCGGTTTTAGCACATTAAAAATAGTAATATTTTGTGTAATGGTACCAATAAATTATTATTATTTACTCATTCTTCATATTGAGTTTTAGGAGTAAATAGTAATAATAATATTATTGCGTTGGAAATAGATAATTATCTGGTCAACAAGATTTTAACTTTGTCGTGCCACACGGACTTTTTGGATATTTTTTACTTTAATTGGTGATTGTAAGAAAAAATAAACAGTTAAAAAAATTTGCTAGACAAGGATTTACTACTATTGAGTAATTTAAAATATTAAGAAAAAACACAGATCTCGTAAATCAAAAGTTATTTTTTTTTATAAATGACTTAATAATCTAAGATTTTCTTGAATATTTAGCTTCTGGTTGGTCCCTTTTAATTGTCCAGCAGTAATCTGCTAACATATTTGGGCTCCATTTGCCCTGGTACCGCTTTTCCATATTAGAAATGTCCTGATGGAACCTCTCACCGTGCTCGTCGCTGACAGCCCCTAAATTGTCAGGAAAAAAATCTTGAATCTTTTATTAACTCCCTAATTTGAGGGCCAACAAAAATACCCTCTTTTATCTTTGCATCACTTATTTTAGGGAATTTTTCTTTTAGATACAAAAATCCACTCCCATTGCGATCCATTGCCTTCACAAATTTTTTTATTAATCCTAGTTTGATATGCAATGGTGGTAGAAGCACATTATTTGGCTGTACAAGGGGTAAATACTTTACGTTTTTTTGCCCAGGAACTAACGATGCACGCGTAGGCCATGTTTTTTTATATAGTGATTAGTTCTGTCTCGGCTATCCCATTCACATAAAAAGCAGCAAAACTTTGTATAATCCAGCTGAAGTCCAAGTAATAGTGCAACAACTTTAAGATCACCGCAGATTTTGAAGGAATATGTACTGTAATTTATTTTTTCAAGTAAAAGTTTCATATTTTCATAGGTTTCTTTCATATTTGCAGCATGGGCCAGAGGTACAGACGGAAGCTTATTTCCATTATGCAATAACACTGCTTTTAGATTAGCTATCGAAGAATCAATGAATAAACGCCACTGAGAGAGATCAAAATCTATGTCCAACATTTTCATAATCTCATTTATGTTATTGCAAAACACCAAATCTCCATCCTGAGAAAAATACGTTCTGAAGTGTTGATCACGGTTTCGAAAATAGCTAACTTTTGTATTATGATGTAGCAAATTCCATTCTTTTAGACGTGATAATAATAGTTCTAACTGCTTTTTTGACAAATTTAAATCCCGAACCAAATCATTTAGGTCTCCTTGAGTTATCAAATGTGGCTCGTTTACAATTCCTTTTAACTCAAAGTCATCGTCCTCGTCAACACATTCACCTGAAATGGACGGTTGTGAATTGTTCTCAACAGACGTAGTTGCAACTGGTATTAGTTCTGGCAATTTTTTACAATGAGAGATAAGTTAGGGTAATTAACTGTGGTTTTTTTCTTGTAATTTATACCTTTTATGTCTGTGAGACAAAAATAGCAATCTGAAACGTGATCTCGCTGTTCAGTCCATATCATGGGTACAGCAAACAGCATAGGTCGTGCACCTTTCTTCACACACGTTATGCAACAGCCATGAGGGGCCCAGGATTTGTCTTGATGGGCGACAGAAAAACCAAAACATTGGTGATGACACTCCAACACAAGATTCGTAAAATTTCGTCGTTGTTTTTTGAATGTTACTTCTCCGCAGACATAACAAAAAGAGTTAGGATCATTATTACACTTCCTCGACATATTCACAGGGTTAATAAATCACAAAAAAGTGTTCAAATTCAACAACAAATATTTTTATAAGGATTTACTTGTAAGCGTTTCTGTTAATTTACTGCCGTAGTACTAGTTATGAGTATTACCGTATCACAACAAATATGAGGCTAATAGACATATGACAGCTGTCATGTAATAATGAGGGTAGACTGATAAAACAAAATTAGCTGTCAAAGTTCGTGTGGCAAAACCAGTGTTGACCAGTGAATCAGCCTACTTTACGCCGTTTTCTTTCTTTTCAGGCCTCCGCAAAGTGTACCCGTACTACTTCACCTTCACGACCTTCACGAAAGGTCGATGGGTGGGGGAAAGAATCCTGGACGTGTTTGCGCGGGAATTCAGGGCACATCCGGCCGAAGAATATGAACGGTGTATCAAGGCGGGCACTCTCACCGTTAACTACGAAAAAGTGCCCACCGATTACCGGTTGAAACACAACGATCTTTTAGCCAACGTGGTGCACAGGTGAGACTGATACGATGCGCTATTTGGATAACGTTAGCATCTTGCTAAAAATATGGAAAAATGGGGAATCAGAACTGTAAATGTAATTTCTCATACAGTGCTTTTCTTAAATGCATACAACCTCGCCCTATTTATATTTTACAAGTTTTTTGAACCTGTTTTGTATATCGCGAAAAAAGTGTGCAATATTCTGCCAGCGATTTCTAGAGCTTAAAATAGGAAGAAAAGTTTATATAAACATAGGTCGATAAACGTCCCCTAAGGGCGCTACGGTCTTTTAAAGGGGCTCCCTTGAAGATGGTTTTTCCTTAATATTTCCGAAACGTGTTGAGATAAAGACATAAAATTTGGTATCCTAGCCTAGTTTTTTATGCTGGATTTACAAATATTAACAATTTTAGACAGTTTTGTTTGGAAGCGTATGTAACAAGGACGGACTCAGGTTATTTTAGCCTCAAAATTTTTGTGTGATTCTATTATTGAAATTCAATTTTAGAATTTGAAAATTTAGGGTTTTCTACATAAAAAAGGTACTCTTATTGAATATCGATAAATTGTGCCATTTTTGAATAAAATCAAACTAAAAAATTTGTCACATTTCGTATGCTTATTTGCGGATTATTTTCAAACATATTTAAAGCAATATTCATACGATGATTCCCCAGTGGCCTTCCTGAGCCCTGCATGCGCTGAAAACTTCCATGGTTTGACAAATTCCGGTGAATATCAGTAAACATTCGACGTCCAGGTAGTATGCGATTCGAAAATCTTCTTTGATATTGTCTTATGGCTGCTGTCTGTAAATCTTGACATTTTAAATCGATTTAATAAAAATTTTGATCTGAATCTAGTAATTTTACACTGCTAACAATGTCAGCTTAACGTCAAAATAAGTCATAACAAATCAAAACAACTTTTGTTTGCAGTGATGGCTAACTATGTATAATCAACAATTCATTTAAATTCGCAGAACATTTCCTATCATGTGACAAATTCTTTAGTTTGATTTTATTCAAAAATGGCACAATTTATATACGTAGATATTCAGTAAGAGTACCTTTTTTATGTAGAAAACACTACATTTTCAAATTCCAAAATTGAATTCCAAAAATAGAATCGCACAAAAATTTTGGGGCTAAAATAACCTGAGTCCGTCCCTGTTACATACGCTTCCAAACAAAACTGTCTAAAATTGTTAATATTTTTAAATCCAGCATAAAAAGCTAGGCTAGAATACCAAATTTTATGTCTAAATCTCGACACGTTTCGGAAATATTAAGGAAAAACCATCTTCAGGGGGGCCCTTTAAAAGACCGCGCCCTTAGGGGACGTTTGTCGACCTATGTTTATATAAACTTTTCTTCCTATTTTAAACTCTAGAAACCACTGGTAGAATATTGCACACTCTTTTCGGGATGTATACTGAATCTTGAACCAAACTAATTGAGCTGAAATTTTGTACCCACTCTTGGTTCGCGTGCCAACACAGAATGAATTAATCGCCACCATTTTGAATTCAATATGGCGAACGTTACAAAATGGCGATTGATAATATCAATGGTAACCACTATAATATGGGCATCAAATGAAAGCGCTTGATGAGGGAAACACAATGAGCAAAGTGACACCATTAGGGTTGCGAACTTTGTTTAACAAGAAATAAACATTTTGGTATCAGGAGAAAAATAAACAGTATTTTTAATAGATAATAGGTTAAAAAAAAGCTAAAAAACAGGCTTTTTACTCTGCGTTGAACTATTCTGTTCATAACTTAAATTTTATTATAATTTATTAATTATGATTGATTGTACGACCAGCTACTACTGTAATATAAACTCTTTGTAATTACAAATTATTTTCTACTTTTTAATTCGGTTGGCCATAAATGCGTGTTTTTCAGTTTTTTTTTAAATATTATTTATTTTTGTGGTATTGAAATATCTTACGAATCATTTCGTAATCTAATCATTTCATTTAAAGCTTCATTGTTGCATGGGGTGTTTCCTGTTAACTTAGAGCAATCAAGGTCTTCAATCCGAATACCGTCTAAAGTTCTTACACGACTATGACCCGTATCCTCAGTCATCCCTACGACTGTAGGGCGCCTTTATGGCCTCCTTGATTGTCATAGTTTTCTACTTCTCCGTGTCAGAACTCTATTTTGAGGTTATGTCACAAACATCTATTTGCATAAAATTGTGCTTGCTTTTGAGTTATATCATGTCTTATCAGCCTGAAATTACCTACAATTTAAAAAGAAAACATATCTTCACAATAGGAGAGCGCTGACGCTGACACGGGACAAGTGTAATCTAGAAATTTTTGAAGGAGAGAAAGGAGTATGACAATCAAGAAGGCCATAAACGCGCCCTACAATTGTAGGGACGACTGACGATACGGGCCTAAGTGCTACATAAGCTTGTCTAGCAACAAACATGCATGGCAACATTCGCAATGTACAAGGTGAGAATGCACTACCTTGAAAAAGTATCTGCCTCCGTTTGTGCTGTGCCGAGAGCGCGAACCAACAAAAAGTATGTCCGAAACTGCACGCATGCGTAGATCGTGCGCTAGCTCTATCTCTCTATCTCCCCTATGAAAGAATGTATCAATCCTGGCGGCCCTAAAGACGATAACGGAATACTGTTATCAAATTATTGCAATGTGATTGGTCCTTAAGACGTCAGTTTCGAATTAATCAAACTTCTGGAAATTGGTAAAAATTATGCTCAAAGCTTGTTAAAAAAAAATAAAAAGAGGTATATACCACAATACGCCTCCTGTGAGGATTGAACGACCGCTGGTTTACAAGACCAGTGCTCTGCCACTGAGCTACATAAACTTGTAGTTTCGGTATTCGTAAAGCGGTATTTGAAATTAGTGGCTTTTTATTAACATATCTGCTTTTTACAGAATTTTACTTATAAGGATAAGGGAAAACTGTTATCAAATTGCTCAAAGATTCGGTTACATACATATATACAGGCCAAGCTGTTAATAAAAAAAAGAGTGTTAAATGAACAGTATTTACTCCTTTATTAATATCCTCAGTTTAAAGTTGAGAACTGCCTTATTGGCATACAGGGTGTTTCAGTTTATTGTTGCATAACTTTAAGATTCGATAGAACTTATAAAATTAATGCATAAAGTCTATATAAACATGGGTCGAAAAATGCGTGGCTTCCGAAATACAGGGTGTTTAAATTTACTTTCTAAAATAGTTTTTTTTAAATCTCGTATTTCGAACAATATTCGATGTATAACAGTGAAAATTGGTATACAAGGGTTGTTTGGTACGACAAAACGAACCATGGGCATAGTTTTACTGTAGCCGCTAGAGGGCGCTCTCTACTGTACCTGTAGTGTATTAAACTGACCGACAATTTTTCTTAGTGGATTTTTTTGCTTTTTGAATAAAAAATCTGATTTTTCGCACTTTTCAACATAAAAAAGCTCTCTTGTGAATTTTCGTTATAGTTAGCCGTTTTTGAGATATTTCGATTTTTAAGGTTCGATGCATTTTTAATTATTTATGATAAAATAACGTTAAAAAGTCAGTATCTCGATAATTTTTAGAAGTTGGCTGTGCCTGCAAATATTTTTGAAATTGAAAGGAGAATAAGGTTAAACGTCAATTAGTTTACAGTTAGTTTTGTTGTCTGTTGAAACCTGAAACGTTTTTTTGCAATTGTGAATGCACGAAATTTAGTTTCTTTTACCTGTTTTTTTTTTGTAAGTTTTATAAAAATGCCATTTTTATTCTCCAATCAAGAGTTAGCGGATATTCATTTTGTGTATGGCTTTGTAAATGGAAACGCAGCAGAAGCAGCCAGAGAATACGCTCGAAGATTTCCAAATAGACGACATCCAACTCGCTCAGTATTTGTAAGAGTGCATCGCCAAATAATTGAAAATGGTTTTGGAAATCTCCAAAGAGATAAAGATAAATGTTCGTCAGCGCAGATTTACCCGTACGATTCTGCGTGAGTCTGATAGAGATCCGACCACAAGTGTTAGGAGAGTTTCTGGTGCCTTGGGAATTTCAGCAAGCCATGTACACCGTGTGCTTAAAAATGACCATAGACGTCCTTACCATTTGCAACCTGTGCAAGGATTACAGCCAGGGGACGGAGAACGAAGAATCACATTTTGTCAGTGGATTCTTGATAGAACTGATAATAATAGGGAGTTTTTAAGTAACGTTTTATGGACCGATGAGTCATGCTTCACTAGACGTGGAGTGGTAAATTTTCATAATCAACATACCTCTTTGGTCGCATGAAAATCCGCATGCAGTTTGGGAAAGAAATTTTCAGCATGAATTTAGTGTGAACGTGCGGATTGGTATCTACCGTAATCGACTATTTGGACCCTACCTTTTGCCTGCAAGGTTAAATACTGCGACCTTCTTGGAATTTTTAAAGGCTGAACATGCAAATATGTGGGATGATGTTATGTTAGATTTAAGAAGATTTGCCTGGTTCCAGCTTGATGGTTGTCCAGCTCATTATTGGAGAATAGTTAGAAACTGGCTAGACGAAAATTATCCAGAAAGATGGATCGGCCGTGGAGGACCAGTCGCCTGGCCTCCACGATCCCCTGACCTAAATCCAGTAGATTTCTTTGTGTGGGGATTTCTAAAAGAAAAAGTGTGCCAGACTCCCGTAACCACAAGAGATATGCTAATAGACAGCATCAGGAATGCATGTGATGAAATAAGGTCTTATTTGAATAATGCTATACCACGTTCGATCATTCGTAGATGTGAATTGTGTATTGAACAATTGGGTTTACATTTCGAGCAACTACTTTAGATTTTGTATGTTTGTCCTAACTATCCAATAGCATTTTAGTTGTAAATAATTAATTTAATTTGCTAAAAGTAATATTGGAAAATTAAACAAATTAATATTCTGTTTTTTGTGTTTATTTGGAGTTAGGAATTATTGCTGTGTTTAAAAACACAATCTAAACGATCATCTTAATTACTTGTAATGCCCAAATCGGAAATGTAAAAAAATATTATTTTCCCATAAATAATTAAAAAAACTATAACGAAAACTCACAGGAGAGCTTTTTCGTTTTGTCGTACCAAAAAACACTTGTATACCAATTTTCACTGTGATACATCAAATATTGTTCGAAATATTTAAAAAAAACTATTTTAGAAAGTAAATTTAAACACCCTGTATTTCGGAAGCCACGCATTTTTCGACCCATGTTCATATAGACTTTATGCACTAATTTTAAAAGTTCTATCGAATCTTAAAGTTATGCAACAATAAACTGAAACACCCTTTATAGTGATCTCAGTCTCAGGCAGGTTTTCTTTAAAAAGTTTTGACATGTTGCATCTAAGTGCGAAATCGATTACTACGCCAAAAATCATCAACCGAGTACAGTGTTTGAGAACCAATCTTAGCAGATAGTTGGATTTTAATTTCCATTTAAATACCAGATTTTGGTTATTCTAGAATTCATGCACTTTTTGAACATCATGATTTATTGATGCCTGATCATCAGTATATGGGATTGACGTTATCATCGTGGAAGTCAAATCAGGAAATAAATAGGAGATCATTTGAGAAAAGCACTGTATTGTCGGATAAAGCTAGCTGAAAGGGAACTTGGTTTGAAAAAAAAATTAGAAAAATTTTTAGTTTAGTAGATGAGGATGTTCGCAAACCACACTCTTGTATGGACTCTGATGTTTATTAGGACTACACCAGTGGCAAAGGGTTAAGACCTGTTTGATATGAAAACGATTTTCGGGCCTTTGAAGACAAAATTTCTATAACGTGGCTGTTTGAACCTGTATAAGAATAGAATCTTAATCAAAGGTATTATGTAACACTTAGTGTCTATATTTTGTAAAATGATGCATATTCTATGGATAGTATGCAGCTTGATCAGAAAACGGTGAAGATACTTTTAGACTAGATAATACTTAGTGGTATGAGGTTTAGTATGTTTAACTCAAAGACGTTCTACGCTAAAGGTAATGAAGTTGGAATAAGTGTAGTGTTTTATCTCCAACCAGTGACGTCGGAAGCATAAACATTTACAACCCGTATCCAGTTGCATATTTATTTTTTTTAATGATCAAGATCGACCGAAACGTCAAAAAACGACGATTTTTTAAAACTACTAAGCTCTTTCGTCATTGGCGTAGATGTAGAATGTCTGTAAATTAAGCGATGAGACTGTTTTTTTTTTGTATTTAAAGATAATTACAATTTTATATATTCGCCGTCGAAATAAGCAACCAAATGACTCGAGCGAGTTCAAACTTGTATTGAAAGCGGATCACATTTTCGCCTCTCTCCCCTCCAACCCCGGCGCCTCCAATGTTGCCAGATCTAATGCTACGTTTCCAATCTCGTCACTTAATTTACAGACTTCGGAAGACCCAAAAACGTCTCATTTTCGAAATTTTTCGCGATTACAATGCCTCCGCCAGTGAATAGGCACGTGAAGTAAATGGATGATAAATTGCATAGTCCTGAAAACAATTTTCAACTACCAGAAACTCAGTTTTGTCTAGATTGAAAGTATCCACCTGATTTTATACGAATTGACAAAGGAAATGTTTATCAATGAAAGTTGAATGAATTTTCTGATTCTCCAAATTAACTAACAAAAATTTTAAACATTTCGTATTATATTAAGCTTTTTTATTTTCAATACCTAACGTTGAAGGTCTTCGTAATTCCAACTTTAGAATTCATAAAATATAACTGCAGTCAAGTCTGAATTATCAAAGTACACAGTATCTCCGTTCTTGGGATTCATTTAAAATTCACATTGTACATAAAACAAAACCAATCAAAACTTTCCGTTTTATGGTTTTCCGATGAACATCATGCTGTTTACTTTTTAAACAGTTTGTAACTCAACCCCAGGTCATAAAATATATTTTAATAGTAGCAGTATCTAAATAAGGGGCTGAATTTTACTTCGTGCTCTGAAAATGGCTACCGAGGTATCCAAAACGTCAGTCAACTCAATTTCATCCATGTGTTTACGCTTTGTATGGGGTTGTCCAAGACGGACGCAGGAAAGTAAACGCATATTAAAACAAGAAAGATTGATATTCAAATCAAGTTGGGTACTTTATTTTGAAGGTTCATTTATATATGTATGAAAAATAATATCGCTCAAATGTTCACCACGACTGGATTTACAGACGTCCACGCGATGGTCGAAATTTTCAATGACATTTTGCAACATGGTCGGATCTATGGCATTTATCGCGGCAATGATGTTGTTTTTGAGTTCTTGGAGGGTGGCTGGTTTGTTAACATAGACTTTGCTTTTCAAATATCCCCATAAAAAGAAGTCCAAGGGAGTCAAATCGCACGATCTTGGTGGCCATGGCACATTTCCTCTGCGCGAAATCACGCGATCACCGAAGAAGGACTGCAATCGATGGATATTGACGTTGGTTGTGTGGCATGTTGCACCGTCTTGTTGGAAATAAACATCGTCCATATCCATTCCTTCAAGTTGCAGCAAAAAATAGTCCTCTATCATCACGTGATATCGCTCAGAATTGACGGTAACGGCATCCCCGGCCGCATTTTCGAAAAAGTAAGGTCCGATGATGCCATTTGACCCCAATGCACACCACACAGTCACTTTTTGAGGATGCTCTTGATACTCACGGGGATTTTCGTTCGCCCAGATGCGGCAGTTTTGCTTGTTTACCGTCCCATTCAAAGTGAAATGCGCTTCGTCGCTGAACATGATTATTGATGAAAAATTGGCATCAATTTGGCGGTGTTCAAGGAGCCAATCTGAGAACGTTCGGCGCCAAAAATGGTCGGCCCGACGCAGCTCTTG